CAGACACTCGACAACGGGACCACCACAGCTTTTGCGACATGCTTCCTGGAACATCGCTCTCGGGCCGATTTAATTTTGCTAGTTCTGTGACGAGCATACATTGTCTGGGACGTTGGCTAGGAATATTTTACTCCTACGCACTCTAGTTTCTATTTTATGAAAATTCCGAGTTCCTGCTCGAACTTCCAACCGTGGACCGAAAGATGTCATGCGAGATTCATGATCACTTCATCAATTCCTCCGTCAAGACGACATCATTCCAGCACCACACAATGACGGGGACAATCAAGTGGGAGTCGATCCTCGAAGCCAAGACTAAGAAGTTTGTCATCTCGACGTGGGGCAGAAGCTACTGGCGCCTGCACGATCGCCTACTCGTGACCGCCAAGACCAAGGCCGACGTCGACGCCCGCCACCACGTCAAGCACTACACGGTGATCGAGGGCTGCACTTGGCAAGGGCATGAGATGGGTTTCCGCGTAGCGACCAAGGAAGCGGGCTGGCTGCACTTTCGAGCCGGCTCCAAAGCCGAGTGGGCCCATTGGATTCACGCTCTCTTGAGTCTTCCAATAATCAAGGTACGTGCTATACCAACGACGAGCTCCAACTCGAACTCGACGTCCACGGCCTGTGACGACGACGACGAGGTTGGGAGTTCGCACTTGGTTTCGTTTGCCGGTACCATCCGTGTGCGCGAGATTCCCGCCATGACCGACGACGAAGCCGATGACCTCTTCTACACCAATGTCGAGATTCAAGGTTTTCGCCGCATGGCAGAATTGATGGGGCAGTTTAAATTCAGGTTAATTCGAGGTTAAACTTCACAATATATTTACTGCCACAAATGTTGTTCAATATTTTGTGCTCGCAACTTTTTACGCAAACTGATGCCATGCGTGCAGCCATGCGTGTGTGTAAGCTGCTACGGACGAGATTCGCTGCCATCTCGGATTGACTGCCCACCACTGCCCACCACCTGCCCTTCCGCCACGTCATCCAATCCGGAGGAAACCGGATAAGATCTACAGACCCAGCCAGCCGCATCGACCGACCAATCGATCGAAGCCCACCGCCGGAACTCGAGTGAGCTTCTAGTACGCGGTGGTCGAGGGCGTGTCTGACCGGCGCGGCGGTACAAAGTGTGGAATCTACATTTTTTACATGTAATAACAGCACGAACTTCGGCGGCAAGTTTATCGCTCCACACTGTGATCGTGCCGCGCGTTTGGATACTGAGCGTCTCCATACCGGTAAGTGTCAGCATACCTTGGCGACAAAGAGGATCTCACCCTCCATGGCTGCGAAAGCAGGGGTGTTCAGGAGCAGCACCTGCCCACTTGACAACGAGCGCGCCAAATGTCACGCGATAGTTACCGTGCCGCCGATCGAATAAAAATGTTTGTCGGCGAGCCTCGAACGCCAATCACAGCACTACAAAGCATGAATGTATGTCAATGCCACACTGCCGAAAATAACGTGGCGCGTCAGGAGGCTCGCAATGCGCTCAGCACCATTGTTCCTGAGCATGTCGCCTTGCTACTAGACATGGTACGGACATGTCTTTCCAAGGGGCGAGGTATCGGCCGTGTGCCGCGATTGTCTTCACGTCCTTGTAAAGCAACGGTGTCCAATGCATGGTGTTGCATATGAAAGTTGCTGCCTTCTTTGGGGCGTTACCGCTACCGATGCCCGCGCGACTCGAGGCGTTCAGCGCTCGCAGTGACGACCTCGTCAACGCTTCTTACAGCTGATAATAAGATGAAGAAATGACCTCAGCTGCAGGTCGGCGTCTGGGTCGGCGGAGACAATGGGTCGCAGGGTATCGTGGCGGCCAAACACGCCTCCAACGAGGCAAAATAGTTTAGTTTTGTCTCATCTTGCGCGACTCAGAGTCGTGATGGACCGGCAACGTGGGTTGGGTCGTGCGTTGATGGGTTCCCTTAATTAAGGTAATTAAGGCGTCCGTCAGACAGCGATATTTCGAGTCGAAGGTATTTTTGCACGCAGTGGCAGAGAAGAGCCAACTCTGGTAAAAACCTGCCGCCCCCACCAAACACACACGCATTACTTCTCGACACTATGATCGATGGAGTCCACTTTGAGACCTCATGGGTGCCCTGTACTTGGCGGAGGGATACGGCAACCGTTTTCCTCGGCCAAGAGAGATCCGTTGTGTTTGCTCCACCGCTACATGTCGTAGGGAGTAGTAGACTGTAGTAGGCCAATTTAGACGTGACAGTTCGATTCATTCATAGGGCGGAACGTAAATGGTCTGGCACTGGGCACGGGTACAGGAAGAATTGGGTGCATGCTCACGTCAGTGCACCTCAAGCGCCATCACAAGCATTCGAGTGTGGGATGCAGCCGACGTTCCGCTCCTGTACTTCAAACAGTAATGAGATATGTCGTGGGCCGGCCAATTGGGCCGGCCCTACGACGCCGGCTACTGCAATGAGGCATAGCCAACGCCATTGAAAATACGCATTTGCAAGGCACTGCACCGATGTTCGTCGATCACCGTGAGCTTCTTTGTGTGCGGGCGACGCACACGCAT